AGCAGTGCCAGGATTCTGCGCTCAGGGAGTGCCTCCCCCTTTCTTATTTTAGGCTTTGCCCCCTTCACCCCCGCCCACTACCTATAATGCCATAATGACTCACTGGAGAAGAGCCTAATGATGGGAAAGATTGAGGGCAGAAGAAGAAGGGGACAACAGAGAAGGAAGTGGCTGGATGGCATCACTGAAGCAGTAGGCATGTGCTTAAATGGACTCCAGAGGATGGTAGAGGACAGGAAGGCCTGGAGGAACGTTGTCCATGGGGGTCACAATGGGTTGGATACGTGTTTTCTGGACGCAACAGTTGCAGAAAGGCAGAAAGGAGAAAAGATCTATGATCCTAAGCTAGAAGGGCGGTGGGAAGGTCTTTTGGAGGTCTTGTGCCTCCTCTGTTCCTGAATAACTTCTGTAAGTGAATACATGGTCCTCAGTTTCCTACCTGTAGATCCACCTTGGTTTAACTCTTTCCTACCTGTAGATCCACCTTGAATGCTCATCTTTGATTTTTCAGGAAGTTAACAAAGCTGCTGCATGGCAATGTTTCATGGATTTGGGAAGTGGGCAGTGAGAAAGATCTAGGGAGCAGAAAATGCATGGTCTTAATTACATCGCTAGAACCATCATCACATGAAATTGGAAGTGCCACGCTGTACATTTGTGCAGGTTTTTCTGATGACCCAATCAGAAATCTGTCTGAAATCATACTGTTTTGGTATTTTAGTGGTGTTCTGGGTAGGCATTGTAAAGGTCCTACATTCATACTGTGACTGTATATGAACCGTAATAATTCATTTAAGGAACTCTTTTGGATTTGAGAAATCAGTGGTCATATAGGTTAGTTAAAAATAGTTCAACTAGTTAACTAGAATTATTTTTAAAAGCTAGTTAAATGGAGAAAAGGGCATCGGAAGATATGAAGTAAGAGTTAATCCAAGGGCACCACTGATGAAGATCATCACTTGCTAAGCATTCCTTCACTTGCTAAGGTTTTTGGCCTTCTGCTGATATTGGCAGCAACACCACTATTGTATATGATGCCAAAAATGTTGAAATTACAATGTATGGATGCAGGCTGTTGATCCATCTTCCTAGCACTTTGGACAGATAGACTCCTTCTCCAGCTAAAGATGTAAAAGACTGAACTGGAAACACACCCTCTTCCATGATGCTACACTTCTTACATTGTCAGAGCATTAAGCCATAGTCTGCTTGGTGTGATAAGCTTTATATAACAAACAAGAGCTATTTGGATAAACTTTTCTGATTGTTTTTCCTGATGGCCATTAATGATGCCATTCTTTTGGCTAAGATACCCTTGAAATTTTGATAGGCTGGAGGTCTTTAAATATGCAGTATTGTCAATAAAAGCGAGTTTGAAAATAGTAATAGGACAAATGTCCATCTTCCTTTTTTATTGTTGCAGGATGTCTCACTGTCAAGCTGAAAATGTCATCAAGAACATCATCCGTGAAATAGGACAAGAATGTGCAATGAAAGGACAAAATGTAACAGAAACTCTGGTAGCATTCATGGTAAAAGCATAAATAATCAATCTTCTCTATTTAAATCAGTGTTTCTCAACCTTGGCAACTTGAAGATGTCCGGACTTCAACTCCCAGAATTCCCCAGCTGGCTGGGGAATTCTGGGAGTTGAAGTCCGGNGTGACTCCATCCAGCCACTTCCTTCTCTGTCGTCCTCTTCTTCTTTTGCCCTCAATCTTCCCCAGCATTAGGCTCTTCTCCAGTGAGTCATTAGGGCATTATAGGTAGTGGGGGGAAAGCCTCAAATATTTAGTTAGGAAAGGGGGAGGCACACCCTGAGCGCAGAATCCTGGCACTGCTTATTAAAATAAATTCAGAGTCACAGAGATTAGGCAACTTTTCTTGTGGGGGGGGGGAAGAGGAGGAGGAGGAAGCCAAATCTGATTTCCATTTATAAATTCCATAAATGAGAGAAGTGTGATTGCACAGTCACATTCTTACCAGGAAGTATCCTAGGGAAAGATCTATAATACTAAGTGCCTGATGACTAGTGGAAGGGAGGGAGTTTTGCTGCCATCTAGTGATCCTCCGAAGTTTAGCAACTCAGATGGTGCCTCTCTGCTTAGAAATCTCAAGGGAATCAAATTTCACATCAAATGTCTTTTGGAGAGCTATTTCCAGCACCCATAGCGCTATCCCAATCGTTCAAACGTAACAGACCGGCACCTGCAGTTAGTTGGCAAGAGATTCTTTACGGGACCCCGCTTAGCTTCTTGACACGTGTCTACTAAATACATAGTTAGGAATGCGTGCAGTTTGCAACTTAGGGCGAAAACAGCCAGTCTGCTCTTTTACTAGCATTTGGCCACGAAGTGCGACATGAACATAAGTACCTTGGAATAAAATCAGGCCATTTGTCAGGAATGTAAAGGATTGACACCCCACCCCCCCAATATAAGGTGGGGGAAAGAGATCTGGCCGAGATCCCGATTTAGGACGGTGCGGAGAAAGAGACCGGGGAGAATCAACAGGACAGAAGTCATGGAGAGAGGCTCGTTAGCCCCGCCCTCCATTCGGTCCGCGGCGCTCTATTGACTAAGCGCCTGCGGTCTCCATGGAAACGAAAGACCGGTCCATGGATCAACACGCTTCTTGGGAACGAGGGGGAGAAAGTCGATCGTGGAGAAGGTGGGAGTGGAAAGTAATCCCGTCCGACCTTCCTTTTGGTTTCGTCAGAGCGGTGCAAAAGGTAAATGACCAACGTCGCACAAAGGCGGCTTTCTAGCGCCCCTTGAACACCTTTTAAAGAGACCGAGCGGTTTCCGTGGCACAACCTGTGCACTGGGAAAGCATAGGTGTCCTGACGTTACCTGCCCCGATTTCCTAGGATACTTCCAGGTAAGGATGTGACTGTGCAATCACACTCTCTCATTTGTGGAATTATACATGGAAATCAGATTTGGCTCCCCCTCCCCAATAAAAGTTGCCTAATGTCTGTGACTCTGAATTTATTTTAATAAGCAGTGCCAGGATTCTGCGCTCAGGGTGTGCCTCCCCCTTTCTTATTTTAGGCTTTGCCCCCTTCACCCCCGCCCACTACCTATAATGCCATAATGACTCACTGGAGAAGAGCCTAATGNATATATATATATATATATATTATTTTTGGGAGTAGTACTCCAGTATAAAATTATTCTTAAAAAATTAAAAATCCTGGGACCTTGAATTTAAGCAAGTTTGGATGTGAGATTATAGACCTTATCATCATCCTATGATTGCTCACTTCTCTTCACAAGTCCTTTATCCCATAGAGATTACTGACTTCCTGCTTGCAAGAGTAGCATCAGCTGTGAATGCCTGTAGTGAGAAGCTTCAGAGAAAAGGGGGCAGTCCCATCCAGAAGTAGTCATTGTAGTGGTGACCTGTGAGTGGTCTGCAGGCAGCACTAAGAATCCTTGAAGATTGTGCAAGAGTTGCACAGAAGATGAAGCTAAATATTTGCAGACAACTTCTATGAAAGAAAGAAAGGAGGAAGTGCACCGTTGCAGTATTATTTAAACATCTTAAACTAATTTGATATGAATCAATTATTAGATTATTTTCTAACTATACGTTGGAACTATCCCCACTATTCCTCAAGACCAAGTCTGAGTGTAAAAATATAATGAAAATGTGGTTAACATGTTACATTCAATGTTTTCTGCCACAATGCTTTGAATTTAAAAATCATTCTTATGCAAATTGATTTCTAAAAATAACTACACAAATCCAACTTGGGCCTTTCTGAAGTGTGTGGGACATCCAAAGAACAAAGGCATAGATTTCCAAATGAAGCAGAATGTTTTAAAGCAGATGGAATGTGCCTTGCTAGATTTTTAAGTTTGTTGAAGGAAATTACATGAGATTTCCCTTATAATTCTAGTCTGCTTTAGTAAAAAGAAGAGGCTGGTACTTAATAGTAACAGTACTACTATTAAAATACAATAATACAGTTTTCATTGTGTTGATTTTAAGAGATTGTCAGAGATGTTCTATACTGTTATACTCATGAACTAGGTTTCTTCCTTACCAGAACATTACATGAGCAGCTTGCAGATATATATGAGATTTCCCTTATATTTCCATTGGTATGATAGTGTTTGATTCCAGTATATAAATTTTGAGCCAAGAGATTAATAATGATGGCTGTATCCAGGAAAATCCCTGTTTTCATCCTTTGCAAGGTAGCTTGAAATAACTTATTTCAACAGTGTCTCTTTTCAGCTTTGCGTTGAAAGACTTCTTGATGTTAAAAATCCATCCTTGAACACAATTAAGATGCAAGTTTATTTTGATATGAACTATACAAATCGAGGTAAGCACTTATATATTGTGAATATATTACTCTGGTAATGTATTCTCAGTCATGCTTACATTAGGTTAAAATTTAGATTTTAATGAGGCTTCTTGCCTAGTAAAACATCAATTTTTGTTTATCAAAATATTTGTAATATTAATATCGAGAGTAAAAGTAAGTAAAGTATTAAACAATCACACATACAAATGAAAACAAGGAAGTTATAAACAAAGTGTCTTCAAATATCACCAACCTGTATTTTGCCTAGCATTAATAGTCTTTAATTTAATAGTCTTGAAATCCTGAAAACATTATAAAGGTAAGGGTATCCTTGCTGGTTTTATTCCACTAGTCGTAGTCAATTTTATGGGCCAGTGCTCATCTCCGTTTTGTTAAGCCAGTGAGCCAGCGCTGTCTGAAAATGTTTGTGACCAGCATGGCATCATGCTGCAACGCAAAGCATTTGGCAAAACATGGAACAGTAATATCTTCCCAAAGAAGTGGTACCTATTTATCTATTTGCATTTACACGCTTTCAAACTGCTAGATTGGTAGGAGCTTAGGCAAGTGAAGGAAGCTTACTCTGTTACGTAGTAAGATTTGAATCCCCAGGACCTTCCCCGATCATTTTAAGCCACTGAGCCACCATGCCTGAAAACATTATAAATTGATAAAACAGGTACATTTTATTCTAATGATCCAATATGTTGTGTAATTACCAATTGTAAAATATTATTCAACCTGTTTTAACTCAGTGAGGAACCCTACCCTACTGTGCGATTAGGATAACTTGGTAGGATTATTGTAGTACTGTAGCAAAATGAATGTGTGGGAAGAGTTGAGTATGTTAAGATGTGGTACCTTTACGTAGCTATACTGTACTCTAAAGTCTTTTTTATGTCTTTGTTATAGCCCTTTGCTTTCCCTGTGATTTGAATAGAAATTGTAACTGCAGGATGCTAAGACCAGTAAGAGAAAGTCTCTCTTAAAATATATTGTGATATGTTGACTTACAGCTTAATAGTAGAGATTGGAATAGCCTTCATGCATTGGTTTTGTGCTTTCTCTTAGTTGAGTTAATTAGGGAACAGCATCGTGTTCTAGACTCCAGGCTTGCTCCAGTATCTAGAGAAATTACCGATAATCGAGCTCGTACCCGAGAAGAATTAGAAAGTGTTTATCGAAAGATTGTCAGCTATGTGCTGCTACGGTCTGGCCTTGGATCTCCTACAGACATCAAAGTCATTAGAGAGGCAACTGGTTAGTAAAATGTCCAAATACAACATTACAGCTTTTTAGTAATATTGCATATAGTGATTTTACTACAGTGGTTACTCAAGGAGATATTAGGAAAAAAATAAATATCACTTTCAATGCTGTCCTTCAGCTTTAGCTGGAATATTAAAATATTCTCTGTCTCTGTTCCTTCCTCTGCCTCTTATCTAGCCACACATTCACAAATGTCTACATGTAAGCAATATAGGACTTTAGACTTATATACCGCTTCATAGTGCTTTACCACCTCTCTAAGCAGTTTATAGAGTCAGCAGATTGCCTCCAACAATGCGTCCCCTTTCATTGCAACAGCCACAAAGAAACTATTCTCATCTTTTCTAGTTGCTTTCTGAAAACTAAAAATTGTTTCATGGGAACATAAATATTGCAATGGTGCAGAGCACTACATTCTAGGGTGGTATAGGTGTCCTGTTTTAACATCCAGCTTCCAACAAGCAAAGTCAAGGGAGAAGCAGGAAGGAGCAAATGGAGATTATGTGAGCATGGGGTGCATAAGTTAGCATGATCATATGCTGTTGTGACTTATGACCACATCTCTTAGTGATGGAATTCCTGGTCCCAATTACAGTCAGTGAGGATTCCCTTTAGTAGCCTGCTGTCTCATCACCACTGATTCAATTACTAGCAAACTGATGATACTGCACCCCAAACTATTATGTGGCATCTTCTGGTAGTTTCATACAGATGTTAAAGAGCAGAGGAGGGATGACTAACCTCTGTAGCATCTTGCATATCACAGTCCATCAGGTTAACCTCTTGATTCCCATTACCCCAGACTGAAACCACCTACCGTGTTTCCCTGAAAATAAGACAGGGTCTTATTTTCTTTTTACCCACAAAATATGGCTTGGGCCTTATTATGAGAGGAGGGTTCATTGTTTTGGGGTTGCCGGGCGACTGCTCTCTTGCGAGCGGGCTCTCAAAGAGCCGGGCACAGCCTCATGGGCGAATGGCTGTGTTGCACTGTCGCAGCAGCGCAACACAGCAGCCATGAAGCGACCATGCTCACGAGCAGCCACCCGGCAAACTCCCTTTCCAGCCGGGCACAGCACCATTCACTGACCTAGGGGTATCACCAAGCCGTGTGAGCGCCTGTTCGCCGTCGCCTGGCTCCCGCACCTTGGCACTTTCAAAACGCCTGTGAATGGCGCTCTGCACTGCATAGAATTGCCTGCTACACAGCTGAGAATTCTTTAGGGGCTTTCTGGAAACTTTGGATTTTTTAGGCATGTGGGACTGATCACTCAAATACTGGTAGGTTCTCCTGTTCCGTGGAGATCCTGAGTGGCTAACAATCAGCATGTGATATGGTCATGACAAAACTCTTCCATGGATCATGTAACCTCCATTCTGAAACAAACGTTACATGCATGATCATATATGTGTTGAACCTATGACTATTTTAAAGAAGCCATAGAGCACATACATCCCTGGGCATTGTTGGAACTGGCCTTCAGGTCAAGGCGAATAAAATCGCCCAGCACTTAAAGGCAGAAGTTGTCCACCACTAAGCCAGAACCCATTTTCAGGAGCTCCAGAAAGGATTTTTCTGGACTGTAGGACAATTGATACACCAACAAGTCTCCAAGCTTGTCTTTACATTTGCTCAATGAAATAATGGCTACTTAACTGATTTTTTTTCTGAAGCTCCACATGTTAAACATCAACAATGTTAAAATCAAAACAAAAAATTGCGGTATTTCAATAGCAGAATTAAAAAATGAGCAAGAATTATATTGTGCTAGGCGTAGGGTAGAGTTTAGAGATGGTCTGTTTCCAAATGGACTTCCCTTGGAAGTCAGTGTTTTTCGTGATCTGACTCTGCATATTTAATATTTCACCAGCTGCCCTGCAGAGTGTATTTCCTCAAACAGAGCTTGCAGCTTTCCTCTCTCTAAGTAAAAAAGAGAAAGAACAGCAATTGAAAGAACTCACCATGATTGTCACAGGAATTCGATTGTTCAACAAGGACAATGGGAAAGGCGGCGAAGGCATTGATGACTGTAAGTGAATACCTATTTACTAATGTAAGTGCAGAAAATACATACTTAACGTACTTTCGAACATATCAGAAATGTTCAGGGCTGCTCGGAATTGTTTAAGAGCTTCAGGAGAGCTGCTTAAGATGACAATTACCTTTCATTCCCACCTCCCCAATCAACGTTAAGTTATTTTTCTCTGATTATCCTCCAGAACAATCTGATCATAGGTTTTTTCCCCAAAGACAGAAAATTTGGTAGAATATTTCTTATCTGTGTCTAATTGATTTAAAGCACAATCCAAGGAGGTCTGTGGATGTACCTGAAGTCCTTCTGCACATTCACCAATGTGTGACTTTCCCTTTCACATTTAACCTTTTGTGTTTGTTGTAGACATTATTGGAGAATCTCCTCAGCTTCTGGGGACACTTTCTGAAGCATGTAGGAGGCTATAGGGGAAAGGACTTCTCAAAAGCTCAAGTGTACACCTAAGGGATGGACAGTGCTCTTTGAATAATACTTTAGATCTGGGCATGTGAGGAAAATGTATTTCTAATTAAAGAAATAGAACTTTGAGATAAACTGTGTGTCAACAGTGCCAATGATTCTGAATGAAGCTATCCCAGCAGCCAGCCACCATATAGACGTTGAACTGCACGCTTCCCAACACCTGGCTTACCGATACACAGCCTTGATTGAAATGATGCACCAGAGTCGAAATGGTGACGTGGAGCTTGGGCAGACAATGTTGAAAGAAGCCCTCTACAATGTCAGACAACATGAAGCTTTCCTCTGCATTATTCTGGTAAGATTCCATTACACGTTGCAAACATTCAATGTAGCTAAAACTGTCTTAATGAAAGATGGGCAAAATTTGAGTGATGCCAAATCATTTTTAGCTGAAATAAGAAGGTACGGCATTCTCGTGTTCTCATTTAAAAAAAATATGAAATGGTCCAATCTACAAAGTATGTTTTTGTTTATTAAGCAACCCGATATGACTTTTATGATTTCCTACAAACGGTATATCTGCCACCTCTAACATATATTTTCAGTCCGATGTGATCACATGTGCACAAGAAGTTGAACTGATGCAAAAGGAATTTGCAGCTGAGATGGAACAGATCAACAACATTGTTAAGTCAAAAACAGCAGTGCCCACGTCTCTTGTTTACGTGAGTTTCTGAATTTCAAGAATTTTCTGAAATTATAAACTTTTACTTACCAGTTGATAGATTCACCCAATCTGTGCAGCAGGGTTTTTGAATGACACACAACTTTACTTTGATAATAGCCTATATTTAAAAGTTTATTAAAATAAGAATACTGATATCTAAAAGAAGCAACATTTGATTTGCTGCTGAATTTGACTTTAGGAATATCTCTCCCAAAGATCTAGCAGTAGTCAGCCAGCATATCAAGTCTCCGCTTGCCTTTGGGATGCTTTGCCATCTTTGAAAAGGCCTGATAAAATCATTGACTGTGCTTGTGAGAGTCTGAGAAATGAACTTTCAATGATATGTTATATTGCATAACTTGGTACGACATCAATAATAGCAATAGCACTATTACGCAATAGCTTTCTGCTTTATAATTTCCCTAAAGGTTTTTGCAATTGCTTTTGAATAATTGCCATGAAGCATTTCCAATCTCACTTAGTACTTCATCAAGGGCGTCCAATTTGTCATTTTTATTATTATTTTTTAATCCGGGGAGCTACAAAGATATCTTCCTTAAATTTAACATCACTAACCCTGGGAAATGTATTCCTCCAGTAACTGAATCCAATTGCAATTTTATTCATTGCTTTTACTGAGTTTTCATAAGCCCAAGTTTGATGTGGAAAAGAGACTTTTATTCTATTTTATTTATTTTATTTATTATTTTATTTATATTTTATTTATTTTATTTATTTATTTTATTTATTTTATTTATTTTATTTATTTTATTTATTTNGAGCATGATATGAATGAAGCATAATAATTGCTATTTGAGATGCTATTTGCTGTGCAGCCACATCATATTAGGTGTCTTTCTGTCTCCCTCTTTTTTCCTCTTCTCACCCCCTCTTATTTTAAGAACACAGCTGAAAAACAGGAAGCAAGGGGGAACTGTGTAAAATTTGGAATTTTTTAAAAATAAAATATCAGTATATTGCATGCTTTCTTCATTCAAAAATTAAGAAAATTATGTGTAGAGATACATATAGTGAATGTTTTGTGCTTTTCATTTTTTTAGGAAATCCTTCCATTGGAGTCTTGAAACATAAGGAGAGATATTATTCTTTTAATTCTAAGGAAGCTGCATATATGTTTGCCAAGAGACCAGATAAATATATTAAGATGATAGCAGAAAAAGCAAAGGAATGTGCAGAGCTTATTCAGCTGCTTGAGCTTCACCATCAGTTTGAATACCTGGCTCCTTATTCTCAGGTATATTCTCCATTATATTCTTCAATGATTGATTTAAAGAGGCACTGCTGGAAAATACCTGTTCTAGGAAGCAGACTAGAATATCTCTCAAAGCAAAGGTGGAACTTAGTGGAGTGGTGATGTCTGCACTATTGGCAGTGAGTTTAGCTCTGCAGACTTTCCAATTTGAAATATGCTAAGCAATCGATTACTGATATTCTTCTCAAGCATGCTTAATGAGAAGAAATCAGAGTCAGCTATATCACCAAAAACATTTTCTTTAAAAAATTCAGACTGAGTTTCTGTGACATTGGTCCCAAAATCATGGAAAGGGGATGAGAATAACATTAAGTTTGTTTTTATTCTTGCTATTGTTCCAGTTTAGAATGAAAGAGAAGCATTTACTTCAGCCAATCTCAAAAAGTGACTGCAGTACTCAGACTGATACCCACATTTTGCCACCAACAATTGTGAAGAATTATGAGTGGAATGAATGGGAGTTGAGGAGAAAAGCCATCAAACTGGTCTGTATCCTAGCCTGATAATTGAACTAAAAGGGCTGGAATTTTTGTCCCACAATCTCAGGTGGCCCATTAATTACTGGTATTCTCGATTTTCCAATTGAACAAAATGTCTAGTCCTGAGATTATGAGACAAAATATTCAGATTATTTTGTCTAGTTTGTCTTTTAAAAAAACCCTAAGTCTATAGATATTATAACCAATGAAGCTGGAGCCATGACTGATTATTTGCAAGAAATGTGAACCACAAAGATTGAGAATAATCATTTATACAATATGCAGAACAAACTTTTTATTTATTTATACTCCATGTTTGAAATATTCTCGGCAGCTATGTGAAGTATTTAAGTTTGAAATGTTAATTAATTTTAAGAGTTTGAGCTCCAGTTTAAAACAATTTTCTACAAGTTTTCCATAAGATCTGATCTTGCTTGCTCTTGCACTACTTTAATTTTTAAGTGTTTTTAAAAAGTAAACATACTTTAGAATCTTTGTAATGGAAAGGCAGGATATTCATTTCATAAATTAACATGGCATAAATTGCCCTTGTTCTTTTTAACATGTAAGAAGAAAGCTATGCTACTTCAAAATGGTACAGTGTGTTTATAAGCCAATGGATTCTCAAGAATGAAGTCAATCTTTATTTTTAAATAGGAAACTAGAGAGGATTGAGTGAGGTTCTTGAATCTATATTTACCAGTAGATCAACTGGAAATTTAATTCATACAAATTTGACTGAGTTAAACAGATGCCCGTTCTGCCTTTGCCCTATTACAAGAGAAAAGTCTAGACTGTCCCAATTTTAAAACAGGTAGAAAACTTCTCAAAATGGCTATTTCCTATTAACAATCTAGTTGACGTCAATTTATAGCTAGAGCAGTGTTTCTCAACCTTGGCGACTTTAAATCCTGTGGACTTCAACTCCCAGAATTCGGTGCTGATGCATGTGAGCACTTGAGTGCCAATCCCAGGTGCCAGCCCAGCCATGACTCCTCCTGCTTTCTTGCTTCTCTTCTAAAACACTGTTTCTCAACCTTGGCAACTTTAAGTCCTGTAGACTTCAACTCCCAGAATCCCCCAGCCAGCACAGCTGGCTGGGGGATTCTGGGAGTTTAAGTCCACAGGACTTAAAGTCCCAAGGTTGAGAAACACTGAGCTAGAGTGTGTGTGTGTGTATGTATATGCTTTCAATTACTGCCATTTTAGCATTTGCTTAGTTGCATCTCTTTTTCTGTATTCAGGCTAACTTGCGCCAAAAGCTAACTCACTCAATGCAAACTAACCTCAGTCATATGAGACGGGACAACTGCAGCCAAGTATACTTGTTGAAGGATTCTGGCACACAAACTAAGCGAGAGAACAGTAGCAACGTACCAAAGCCCCAGATTTTCCTAGCTGGTCTTCGTGGAGGAACACCTCCAATTACTCGTATGACCAAAGTGAATTTAACTAGAGCAGTTGATGAAACATAATTCTGTTGTTTAAGTAAAAAAACATTTCAATAAATTAAAATGTTTAAAAATATAAATGAGTCTCTCATTTTTTTGTTGTTGGACGGTTGGACATACGTTTAATGAATAGGAACGGAGGGGTTTGTATGCTCCAAATATCAATAATAAGATGCAGCATAAATTATTCAAGGCCAGACCTGTCCCTCTAATATGATATCCAGTATTAAATGATAATTTAATTTTATCAAATATAAATTAAGATACGTTGCATCTTAATGCTTATTCTTTTAACTTATTTTCCTTTTCTTCACATCTCTTGTAGGAGATTGATTAGTCTAATTTTTTTTAATCGTTCATTTTGTACACACTTTTTAAATTTTCTCAGCCCTCTTTCCGAGTTCAAAAGTTTTATTTCTTTTAAGACAAACATTTCATCATTCCTCAATCAGTAAGACATCGAAGTACAATTTTNATTTTATTTTATGGAGACTTTGGTATAGACAACTTCTCATTGCTATGTATTGAATGTGTATAGTTGTGTTAACTGTGCTAAAATGAAACTAACTTTTAGATGATCCTAACTGTTAACTGTGCTAAAGTGAAACTAACCTTTAGATGACCCCAACTGTTTTGGAGAGAAAATGAGAACATTTATATTTGGGCTGGCTTTTTCTAATTCTATGATTGGTTCAGGACTTGTGGGCTTAGAGTATAAATCATAGACATTTGCCTGCAATTCCTCAGTTCCATTTTTGAGTCAATAAATACTGTTGCAGCTATGCTGGTCTGGTTCTTGCCTATGAAAGTCCACTACACAACACTCATTATGTGGGACAGGCCCTCATTCCAGATGGTAAACTGATATTTCATAGCATTCTTTCTGTTACAAGTGATTCCTATTGTGCTTTTTAGGCAAAAAATATAATTTTTGGGTCTTCCTCCAATCATGGAAACAGAGAACGGCATATGGTGTGAATGTTCTAACTATCATGTTAAAGTCTAGTACATATGATACAACAAATGTGAAGGGCCCAGTTCCCCATTTCTTATGTTGATCATTCACTTTACACCCAAAATAATGTTTATTGCATTTTTTGACAAGTTTTGCTTTGGAAATTTAAATGTTAATTTGTCACACATATAACAGGATGAATTACAATTTACAATTGTGGCATTGTAAATAAGAACAATACTATTGAAAATCAAATACTTAACTTGAATACAGAGAATGTACATTTAAAATGCGGATCTAAAATGCTGATCTAAAATTGTGAGTTCTGCACCAGACTGATAAGGAATTGTTCTGCAGGCATAGACTGGATTCATATTTACGTCTAAAACATAACTCAACCTCCACAGTGATATTACAAATTGTTACAAATATGCCAACATAGCTAAGATATAATACTATAATATTACTAACTAAACTTACTGACCTGTATCTCTGTTTCTCCTTTTATTCAAGTTTTTGAGTCAATTGTCTTCTCGCAATTGTTCCTTTGTCTTACAGTGGCCTTGTTTTTCCAATTAATCCAAGATTTGGGGCAGGTCATTCAACTCAGTGCTGTCCAGAGTACTGAATGATACTCTTTGGGTGAAGTCCCAACATTTTACATTGATGTTGGTCTTTTTTGGACCTAATGGCAATGTTTAATACTTTTGATTAACAGATATTGGCGTCTACATTATAGGCCCTGAACATCATTGACTAAGCATTGCATTAGTTCAAGTCTTCTTTGTCTTCCAGTTCTTTTGCAATGGAGATATCCATTGGGGATTAGTTCCAGCTCCTATTCTGTCATCCATTATGCTCTTATTTATTTAATCTCAGTTTCCATAATTATCAACTCCTGCATAACTGGTTGGATAACTGAAGTTTAAAACAATACAAGTAGTCCTTGATTTATGATGGCAATTGGAGCTGAATCTCACAGTTATTAGGCAAGGCCACCATCAGACCCAAAGACAACACAGAGAAATCCAGTCAAGTCCTTTCCTTTATATGCTTGCATCTAATAGACTGTATCTTGCCAGACTAAAGCTTTAACATTCTAACATACTACATATATCTTCTCTGCAGTTTCAATATCTTGCCTTGTGATAAGCTCACTCTGAACCCTTTTAAGGTGTTTATAGCAAGGGCACAGATATTCACTTGATGAGTATTGAATCCAGTGGACTTGATAGAGAAGCTGTAGCTTTATTGATGCAGGCTCTGGTTGTTTCTCAATTAGATTATTGCAATTGTCTCCTGGCAAATCTTCTGTTTTCTAATCCTAATCCAGAACTGAGTCATGTGGCCTGTTTTGCACCTTCCACCTTCAGCTTATATTTTGTTACCCTGTAGGGTTCTTCACCAGCATCCTGTTCAAACCAGTTGAAATGTATTTAGAGCCCACAGGCACAAACTTCAAGTATCTCTCCATTCTGAATTCTGATCATGTATTACGCCCCCTGGCCAGAGTCGTCTTATTGTTCCTCATTCCAGGAACATGATGTCGAAGCTTTCAAGGTCTTTATCTTGTTTTCTCGAATTGAATTTTCCCCAGAACATTTGCTGCATACCTGCCCTATGTGTAATTTGCCAACCAAAGAATAATTGCTCAACTATTTCTATTCTATTTTCTATTTATTAAATTTATAGGCCGCCCAATCCCGAAGGACTCCGGGCGGCTTACAGAAATAAAATTTTAGGAAAAAGGTTAAAAAAGACAAACAGAAAAGAACAGATTAAAAGAAACACATCATGCACCCAGTCTAAGCGGGGCTGGACCTCGGTCAAGAGCTCAAAAGCCCCAGGCCTGCCGGAATAGTCAGGTTTTAATAGCTTTCCTGAAGGCCATGAGAGTGGGTAGGGTCTGGATCTCTGGGGGTAGTTCATTCCATAGGGCCGGAGCAGCAACAGAGAAGGCCCTCCTCCGAGGCGCCGTCAGCCGACATTGTCTAGCTCAGTGTTTCCCAACCTTGGCAACTTGAAGATGTCTGGACTTCAAGCCCCAGAATTCCCCAGCCAGCGAATGCTGGCTGGGGAATT